CGCATCTGCGAGAAAATTTAAAGTGCCGGTGTCAGCAGAGTGTCTTGTGTACGGGTGCCCGCTGGCTGGACACCCGTACACAAGACGCCAACCCCGGACTGTCCGGTTGAAAACCGGACGGGTGGCAACCCTACACTTACCTGTCAGCGATGCTCTTCCCCGCCGCTGGTCCCGAAGTGATCCTCCGTTCCCTGTACTTCCTGGTTGCAGGGGGAGGATACTGATGGCAGAGGAGCCATAGGCTCCTTCTGCCATCAATCAAAGTGTTGGTCAGAGAGAAGGGGCGTGGCCTGCCACAGGGCTGTGTGTGTCTATGGACGCACACAGCCACTGCGGGCACGAGCGCGCACGGGTGCCTCCGTTTGCCGATGGAGGCACCTGTGCAGGGGACGAGGGGAAGGGCGCAGCGCGGACCCACTTGAAAACGAGGAATTTTAAACTTTTAAAGAAAAAGAACAACATCCTCAGGCAAAGGTGGGCGTCCTTGATAGCAAATATTTTTTTTTAAAAAAGAAAGGTTTAATATCACTTTAATGTTAGCGTCGGTCTGGGTTAGTCTGGGAAGGAATACTCTGCAGATCCTGCTCCTCCTTCCTTTGGTGGACATTGAAGATTGACAGACTAAGGACGCTCGTTAGCCGGGGGGTCATCCTTGAAATGGGAGCCGGTCCGGCCTGTCTGTAAAGCAGATTAAATGTCCGTCAGGAATGGCAGCTAATTAACTTCAGTAATATATAACGAGAGCCGAGCGCAAATCTTGTACCTGCCGGGAAATTCTTAGGATTCTGTACTGGACTCGGCTGCGCTATCTAGAAGTTGGAAAGGCCGCCATTTATTACTACTTTTATATATAGTTCATCAACAACGCAGAGACAGGCAGGAAGACTTTATATATATATATAAAAAGGAGGAGTGTAGAAGGGTTAGACCCTCTGTCAAGGTTTTATTGCTGTGTCCCCGCTGGGGAGATTCATCCTCACTTCCGGACCCAGTGCCACCCTTCTGCACACTGGCAGACGGCAATTAAAACTTGACCGAGGTTCTGTCCTTCCCTACGCCATTCAAAACTAAAACAATATGGATACAATAAATATCCAGCAGAAGACTTCATTTCTATGTTACATTTCCTGTACTTCCTGCTGTGATTAGGGACTCTCGTTAGCATAGCGCATCCGATCTCCTTCATCAGACTAATCGACGTGTTTGTTATATGCAAATCTTTAAATGAAGGCACGTCACTATTACCAGATTATCAAAAGGCCGATGGACCTGTCAATCATCCGGAAGAAGCTGCAGAAGAGGAACATCCCCCATTACTCCACCCCCGAGGAACTGGTGTCCGACATCCGGCTCATGTTTTGGAACTGCGCTAAGTTTAACTATGTAAGTAACGAAGGCCGAACTGTGCCGATGAGGCTCTCCTGTCAGTGCAAAAATGACCAAAATCCGAGGCTGGGAACACATCCAGTCAAGGGAGTCTTTCCTCAAAGCTGACATGGTCCTCGCCCCGTATTAGGTGCCCTTCCCTATCCTTAAACCTGACCTCCGTCCTCCTCTTCAGTCTTCTATCTGACCTCCGTCCTTCCCTTCAGTCTTCTATCTGACCTCCGTCCTTCCCTTCAGTCTTCTATCTGACCTCCGTCCTCCCCTTCAGTCTTCTATCTGACCTCCGTCCTCCCCTTCAGTCTTCAATCTGACCTCCGTCCTTCCCTTCAGTCTTCTATCTGACCTCCGTCCTCCCCTTCAGTCTTCTATCTGACCTCCGTCCTCCCCTTCAGTCTTCTATCTGACCTCCGTCCTCCCCTTCAGTCTTCTATCTGACCTCCGTCCTCCCCTTCAGTCTTCTATCTGACCTCCGTCCTCCCCTTCAGTCTTCTATCTGACCTCCGTCCTCCCCTTCAGTCTTCTATCTGACCTCCGTCCTCCCCTTCAGTCTTCTATCTGACCTCCGTCCTCCCCTTCAGTCTTCTATCTGACCTCCGTCCTCCCCTTCAGTCTTCTATCTGACCTCCGTCCTCCCCTTCAGTCTTCTATCTGACCTCCGTCCTCCCCTTCAGTCTTCTATCTGACCTCCGTCCTCCCCTTCAGTCTTCTATCTGACCTCCGTCCTCCCCTTCAGTCTTCTATCTGACCTCCGTCCTCCCCTTCAGTCTTCTATCTGACCTCCGTCCTCCCCTTCAGTCTTCTATCTGACCTCCGTCCTCCCCTTCAGTCTTCTATCTGACCTCCGTCCTCCCCTTCAGTCTTCTATCTGACCTCCGTCCTCCCCTTCAGTCTTCTATCTGACCTCCGTCCTCCCCTTCAGTCTTCTATCTGACCTCCGTCCTCCCCTTCAGTCTTCTATCTGACCTCCGTCCTCCCCTTCAGTCTTCTATCTGACCTCCGTCCTCCCCTTCAGTCTTCTATCTGACCTCCGTCCTCCCCTTCAGTCTTCTATCTGACCTCCGTCCTCCCCTTCAGTCTTCTATCTGACCTCCGTCCTCCCCTTCAGTCTTCTATCTGACCTCCGTCCTCCCCTTCAGTCTTCTATCTGACCTCCGTCCTCCCCTTCAGTCTTCTATCTGACCTCCGTCCTCCCCTTCAGTCTTCTATCTGACCTCCGTCCTCCCCTTCAGTCTTCTATCTGACCTCCGTCCTCCCCTTCAGTCTTCTATCTGACCTCCGTCCTCCCCTTCAGTCTTCTATCTGACCTCCGTCCTCCCCTTCAGTCTTCTATCTGACCTCCGTCCTCCCCTTCAGTCTTCTATCTGACCTCCGTCCTCCCCTTCAGTCTTCTATCTGACCTCCGTCCTCCCCTTCAGTCTTCTATCTGACCTCCGTCCTCCCCTTCAGTCTTCTATCTGACCTCCGTCCTCCCCTTCAGTCTTCTATCTGACCTCCGTCCTCCCCTTCAGTCTTCTATCTGACCTCCGTCCTCCCCTTCAGTCTTCTATCTGACCTCCGTCCTCCCCTTCAGTCTTCTATCTGACCTCCGTCCTCCCCTTCAGTCTTCTATCTGACCTCCGTCCTCCCCTTCAGTCTTCTATCTGACCTCCGTCCTCCCCTTCAGTCTTCTATCTGACCTCCGTCCTCCCCTTCAGTCTTCTATCTGACCTCTGTCCTCCCCTTCAGTCTTCTATCTGACCTCCGTCCTTCCCTTCAGTCTTCTATCTGACCTCCGTCCTCCCCTTCAGTCTTCTATCTGACCTCTGTCCTCCCCTTCAGTCTTCAATCTGACCTCTGTCCTCCCCTTCAGTCTTCTATCTGACCTCCGTCCTTCCCTTCAGTCTTCTATCTGACCTCCGTCCTCCCCTTCAGTCTTATATCTGACCTCTGGCCTTCCAGAGAAGGCAAAATATAAGCAGATTAAAATTTGAGCTTTAACAATCACCTTCATTCTGCTTTCCTCCTATTGACCAAAATGGCAATTTTTCATAGAAAATTCAGGTAAAATCTCAGTCCCTGTTCACAGCCGATGTTCGTCCTCCAGTATTTGGCCATGGGTGTGTTTGCAGAATAGAGTGTTTGTCTCGGGCTCATCACTCGGCTCACCTTTGCCGGCTTTGTTTGTATTTCAGGCAATTAGTACAGTTTGAATTGCGTTACAATAGACACTTAACACCTGAGCCCGGGCCAGTTCATTTCAGTGCACCACAAAGCAGTGTAGCTTACGGGAATATCACATCACCATCAGCATGACGGAGCAGGGAAATTTAAGACGGGGGG